GTGTAAATATTTTTTTTTGAGATGGTAATATTAATCCAATTATTTATGAAAGCAGGAGTTTAACATGTTATCTTTTTAGTAGTAGTTTGACAAGCACATTGACGATTCTACATTCATTCTTTATACGTTTTATATTTTATGAAATATGATGTCAAATAATACAAAACATCCAACAAATTGTTAAATTTTTTATAATACTTTCTCTGAAATAGTACTAAAAAATGAACAGTTTTCACTATCTAAACATAATAAGCTGGAAACATGAGAAATTTAATTTATCAGATGGTGAGTGTGAACAAAAGCAAAAATTGAAAGATCACATAAAAAATACATGCTTAATACTTCACAAGTAATAACCAGTAGTTTAAAAAGATGTCAGGCCTTTCATTTCCAACTTGTAATTTTACTTACCAATTCAAGTAACTACTGTTATTCTAATTGTATCATAATATGGGATCTTTTCATGCTCTATTTAAAACTAGTTTGCATTACAGCATACCAAAATTCGAAAAAAAATTTCAAATGTAATATTTTTTGCTTCCTTCAAAAATTAAATTCAAGAACAAAACAAAATATATCTTTCAAAGCACAGAAAATATGATAACATGCAGTAACATTATGCAGTGTCCACACAGTTTTCCAAGTTGTTCACAAGGAATATAAATATATCATGCAGAAACCCATAGCTGTAAACATCTGTAACAAACTTTTTTTTGTTTCAATTCTTTAAAATTATATAAACAATCACCACAGAACTTTACATCAAAGAAGAAAATAATGTTTCCTTTAAAATAATTCATATCTATTAAGAAGAAAAAATTATTCAATTACATGCTTCTAACTCATTTGTAACATTTAGTATTTGACAGCTTGAGACTTTGTAAGAAAAACTTTTCTGACAGCAAATGTATGTGTACATAGTAAATTTTCAGATATTAATCTATATGAGTAATATTATGCACAATACTTAGTATTGAAAATAACAATACAGCCATTTAGATGCATAATTTATGTGCAGTGCTTTTTACTGGTTTTCTAAAGTAATTTGTGATATTCTTGTTTCTCTCAAACTTCTGCTTGAAATTTTCTTCAGCAAGTTTTTATGGATCATTATATTTCTTCATTAAAGTAACCAAACAAAATATGTTTTTACTGACTGAACTAAAACACATACATACATCATCAACTGTTTCTATCACAAAAAATACTGAGGCATTCCACAAAAAAGTTTTATTTGGTGAATAAAAGATGTTCTATTTAAAGTGTGAAATTTAGATTGAAATGACTGTTTTTGAAATAAACCAACAAATGCAACTGATAAAAATTTATTAGCATTTTAACTAGTCACTATAAGTAAAAAGTAGTATGAGTATCACATGTTCAAATAATGTTATAAGAGTAGTGACTTAAACAGTGAAATCCTAGTCTCAAAGTTTTATTAAGTATTTTACTTTAAATAATAACTATCTATTTGTTAAGGGCAAAAACAAATTACCAGCAAAATGTGTGATAAGCACACATTTAATATTCCAACCATAACTATAGTTACTGTTATGTACTATGCTTTTAGTAGAAATCTTCTCAGACTGACATGTAACAGTTTTATAAGAACTGTTATTTGATTTTTTGAAACTTGATTATTTATTGACTAATTCAAAATAATTGTAACATCTTGCATGTAAATTCCACATTTAAATAGAGAAGTTTGCTGATATCATGCTGCATGTGAAATGATGGATTCATTGGCACATTTCCAATTCATAGATACCATAATGGGTGAAAATATGTGAATTAGATTATAGCAAAACAGGTGTACATCTTTAACTCCATCACACCTGAATGAGTGCATCACTGAATTTTAAAAATGATAAAAAATTAACTTGGTGGTCATTTTTTCACACATTTGTTAAAACAGTATTTCAGGGTTGAAATTTATTTATAAGGAAGTTTTACTTAAATTTTATAAATACAATTTTGAATGTCATGTTTTGATTTTGAGTTGATTTCAGTACACTCATAAAGCAAGGACTAGTGTTTGTGAATTTCTTGAGTTTTTTTTGAGAACAATATGGCACTCCTAGAAGGAAAATCAAACTATTTTTTTTAACAAAATAGTGCTAATTTGAACCTTTTAGTTTCAAGACAAGTGTAATTGTATTTAGTTAGTGATCTAATGTTCTAAATACATAATGAACACTATATTTTTCTCTTATTTTGAACTGTATAAAGCCAATATGGCATTGGAAGAAGGTGATAAAACTTAGCTTTGTGATATATTGCTGGTAGAAAAGAAATATTTGTCAACAACTCCCACAAGTATAGCCCTTTTTTGTTTGTAAAAATCTTTTTTTATCATTTTAATTTCATTTGAATTATTGCACTATGATTTAAAAACTTTTTTTGTGGAGGTAAGATGAGGCTGTTATATGCAATTATACTATTTATTTTAGGTATGTTCAGTTTTTATATAATATAACCAAGAAAGTTATTACATTGCTTTCATTGTAACTCTCTTTATTATGTCATTCTCTTGAGATAACACCTAATATGTCCATTGGAGTATAGCTGTAAAGCTACACCTTATGCGTCGTCAACAGTAAGTCAGGTTATAACCTTTCTACTTTTCAAAGAGAATGACCGGTCGTTTGGTTAGCACTTGTTGCTCTGGATAAGTCTGATACCATTTGAACTAAGTAAGGTGAGGTTTGGTCATCCTAGAACAGCATTTTGAGTGAATTGGTCGGGTGAAATATATCTTGAGGAATAACACTAGTCTCATCAATCTACTTCTCAAGTAAAGGAAACTGTACATCATCCAAAGGTGCTTGATACACAGTTTTGTGTTTGTAAGTTTGAATAAAGATTGCTTCATTCTATCTGGCACATTTGTGTTCAGTCCATTTATTTCTTAGCACAGATCTTATTAGTTTCAGTGGAACTTGGTACTATAGCTTGCTTAATCTCCCATTATAAAGTGGACCTATTTTATTCATTCTTGGGGCAAGTAAGTTTTTACTTGAACATACCACACACACACACACACAGACTAGATAGGAAGGAGAAACTTTTAGTGCCATGACCACAAGATATTATTGTGGAGTTTTGTGCATATTGCACTTCAACTCTTTTGTATTATCAAGTTTACAAAAATTATCTTGTTTAATGAATGGCATTTTCTATGGGTAGAAGTACTTATGAACAAGTAATAAATAAATAAACTTAGTATGCCAAAAATTGTTTAATCTTGAAGTCTAAGTTCAAGTCCAGTTCAATTTACACTTTGATCAATGTGTATTATTGGGTTATACTAGTTTTGGAGAATTCCACTCCTCACCAGTAACCCTGAACACAAATTAACCAAAGAGAGAGAGAAGCTGGACCTATATCATATTGAAAAGTATCAAACATACTGTTGGTGTGAACATACTTTGTAGTCACATAAGTGTATAGGTTTTTCTCATAGTGACTACAAAGCACATTCATACCAACAGTATGTTTGACCAAGAAGTAGTCGGTGACTGAAGAGAGTTGGGTCTAGAAAAGGCCCTCTACTTTCTTAACTCTGCAGCACTAGAGTAAGGAAAATCAGCTGATGTCTAGTGCACAGAATGGCAGATGGGGGATTATGCGAGAAAATTGATCTTAGCACCAGAAAAGTATAGACAAACACAACTGTAATTAAGGTTACCTGATACTGACCAAGGGCTAGAAGTGTTGCTGGTTGACAAAGTGCCAACTAGACCTGTTTTCCTGGCAGACAAGACAGTGGACACCATGTGGTGAAGACCCCCGAATCATAGGGCAGAGGAGAGCCTCTTCAAGCTCGGAAGTATCCTGCCAGGGTGACCATGGATTGTCATGAAATCTACTGTTGTGTAGAGCCGATGGATAAGCTGCTACAATAACTTGCTATTCTGCCATCTTGTACCAGGACTGACTACTTATCCCAGGGTCAAGGCTCCTGAGTACACTTACTGTGTCATACCTACAGCACTGACGGAATGTCAACCAAGTATTAGTCA